TCTTATTTCGCTTTCTTATCGCTTTGTGGCCCGCATGTGATAAGGTCCCTAATGTCACCCAGTGGGTTTCCATGGCTGAACCAGGTTTTGAACCCTAGTCTCCAGAGTCTTAGTCCAACACTCAAACCATTACACCACACTGGTTCTCTGGTTCATGAACATGTATTAATATACATGGCTGAAAATGCACATTTGTTGTATGAACACACAGTTTTATGTTTACCTGTAAGAATTGTGCACAAAGTGGCCACCTAACAGTTATTTTATTCTCACTTTGCCATTTATGTTTTATTTTAGGAATGTATGTTCAACAAAACATGTTGATTCCCTGTTTGTTGTTCCTCTTGCTGAGGTTCTGCACACCCAAACAGCTAAACATAATTTCAAGTCCTCAACTTCCTTTTTTATGGGTCTCTTGGCATTACATAATGTCTGCCTTTTCCCCCTTTTTTCTTTTTTAAAAACATTATTCTTCATAGGAGCATAAGCTGTGGCAATGTCCTATCCAAGATAACAGCTGTAAGCAAAATATATTTATGTGAGCCACAGAGCTCCTTGAGACATGACCTAAATGGTCTAGGTGGGCATATCAAGTGGACTTTTTTCTCCATTTCCTTCCAATCCTACACCCCAACCCACTTATTCAGCTTCACAACCTGCTTTTTGAAAAGACTCCAGATTTCCAAACATAGTGTGCAGGACAGAAAACTGATGATAGAGAAACACAAGCCCAGCTCCCTCATAGGTGCAAGGGAACAGAGATGCAACTTGTCTGAAGTGGCCATAATCCATGGAAACCAATCTATTCCTACATAAATGGCAGCAATTCATTTATTTGGCTACTAACTCATACCTCCATAGGATTCCCATTGATCCCGCATTCAACAATTACTTAATTAGCTTCAGAAATGCTGCCACACTGAGTGCCCTAAAACCACCCAAATGAACTCAAAACTACTGAACATCCCAACATCTCTTGGTTTTCTCCAAATCCTCCTGACCTTCATCATCAAATCAGCATTACATCTGAAACATACAACTATTCTTGCTTATTATGTATACATTCTTAACCACTTCATGCAAAGTTGCAAGCAATCCACATTTATTTGAGGAAAATGACACTCAAATATTGCCCTGGTCTTACACTTGCATAAAGAAGTTGTTTACAAGATATTTCAGTCAATTTGATTTGTGCTCTATTTGAACACCTCCTGACAATCTGCTAGCTATTTGTTTGTTTGTTTGTTTGTTTGTTTGTTTACAATATGATAGGCAAGACTGGAACTGAGGGAGAAAAGAAACCACATCCTACCAAAAGTTTGATGGGATGCACATTGATTCTTTTTCTGTAGTATATATAATCTCTAGCTCCACATCAAAAACCTGAAGAATCAGTGATCACAAATGATAGTGGAACAGAGGAAATGAGTATACAAACCAAAATGAACAAGGGCTTCACTGTACCCCTATCAGCTCTCAAACAGTCTGCCTTCAGCCTTGAATTCTGGACTGAATATCAATGATCCCTACTGTGTACTACTACTGAAAGCAAAATGCCTTTGATAAGTCATAAGCCCAAATGTGGGTGATGGGCTGAAGGGATAATTGTAAGCTCTTTTGGAAGATTAGACAGGGAACTTTCTCTCACGTCTGCCTGGGAGAACCTGCCCTCAGCTAACCAATCTGTCCTCTGATTGCCCAGGCCTTTCCAACTACCCAAGAGAAAGAAGCTGGCATTTCACCGAGAA